CTTCACAGTGACCTCCTCCGCCACCACCGACTCCGAACCCCCAACTCCACCTCCACCAGAAGCAGAGCAAGCCGAGCGGAGCCTCGCACTGAGCGAGGGGGCAGCATCGGAGATCGAAGCCTTGCACATCCCACAAGTCCAAACGCCAGAACCGAACTCCCAAACGTGCGACGAACCCCTCACATCAGCTTCGATTCACCGACGCCTGCGGAACACAAGATCAATGGGCTGCTTGCGCAGCCTGCGCTCAGGCTCGGCCTTGAGGGCAGCTCACTCGAGAATGATAGAGGCGTTACGCTTGAGGATGGCACAAGCATTGCCAACCAGCTCATTATAAGCCTGAACAACTCCATTCGGAACCTGGCATTCCCGAGCACGCAATTCAGCGAGCTCATCAGCGACAGAGTTGAGCACTACCTGGTCCCAGTCAACAGAGTCGCCAAAACGGGCGAGCTTTTGGGGATCCTCCAACAGGTGGTTGGGAACATGAAAAAGCTGGAAGTCCCCAGGTCGCTCCGAGAGGAGCTGCCAGAATTCCCACCAGAGACCAACATTTGCCAGCCTCGCAGAGGCAGCACGGCCAGCCAGGAAACCTTTGACAATATTGGCATGGTCGGTGACCACGCGCAGAGCTTGGGCAGGGTCAACGCAACGAAGGCACTCAACAATGGCCGCAAGCTCTGCGCGGGGAACCGTCTGTCGAACCGAGTCGACGAGTACACCTGTGACTCCACAGTCCCAATCAAAATCATCGCTAGGACGAAGCCGCACAAAGGCAAAGGCAACTCGTCGGAGGACAGGAAACTTGGCAAACTGCCCTCCCGTGCCATCAGTGGCATAGAGGCCTCCTGGCAGGCAGCCTGGAAACAAGGCCCCAGGACAACGCCGCCCCTGGAGGTCCCTGGAATCAGGCACAGGAGGGAGGTTGAACCAGGAAAGGGGAATAAGTCCACGCATCCAGAAACACGGGTACTGGAGAGCCTCCTGCTGGGCACCGTGCCTAAGGTGCTGAGAGTCAACAATCTCCTGGACCTGCGACGAAGCATTACACATGCACTCCCAAAACCTGTGGCAGGAGGTCTCGGGGTCACGCTGGCAACGCCTACAAATAGGAGGAGGAGGAGGAAGAGGGGGAGGAGTAGGAGGAGGAGGAGAAAGAGGAACAGGTGGAGGAGGAGGAGGAGGAGGAAGAGGCGGAGGAGGAGGAGGAGGAGGAGGAGGAGGGAGGGGGAGGGCGGAGGAGGGAGGAGGAGAGAGGAGGAGGGATGAGAAGGGAGGAGGAGGGAGGAGGAGGGAGGAGGAGGAGGAGAAGGCTCCGTATCCATGTTTTGCTCAAGGCTCGGCAAGAGGTGTCGCCTCCATGTTTTCTGTATGCAGCAATCGGAGCTCTGCATGTCGGAACCAGTTCAGCTCCTGTATTCCCTTCACGGATGTCTCCATAGGGACATGTCGTCTGCTGCTGGCCGCCCTTTCCAGGGTCATGCAATGGCTTCGAAGTTCTTTCGCCTTCCAAGTAAGACCCGCAATCAGATCTTGCGCGCCGAGTACGCGTGCCATTTGGTTCGGCATATCACAGGCCCGTCAGTGGCGGCCTTCATCGAGCAGGTGCAGCAAGAGGTACGAGAATCACAATGCCGAGGGGATTCTCGAGATTCTCTGTTGCCGGGAAAGGGATTTGAGGCCCACAGGGGTCAGGTTAGTTCACAGTGAGAGCCCTGTGGGCCTCAAATCCCACTGGGCCCCAAAAAATGCCTACCCTGGGCCCACATGTGATCGGTTCAGCGTTTCCAAGACCATTGAGGATCAGGCCATCTACAGCCTGGACGATACATTGATTGGCATCAAGTCTCTTGTTTTGGATCACCGTGCCGATATAATCTCACACCCGCCCCAAGAGTGTGGGCCTAAGTGGAGCCTGGTCGAGAATTCGAGTTTGAACATGTGGGCTGACCCCGGCAAGCAAGAGGCGGGAGTCCAGACCGTGGAGTTAGCCACTCCGGCAGAGAAGACAGTCGTCTTCGAGGAGAGCGGAGCCGCTGATGATAGCGACAGCTTCGACACTAAATATTCCGATTCGACCATGGGTTTTAATTCATATAGCTTTCAGCACTAATTTCGTGGAGTTCCCAGGGCGCGCCAAGAACAAACGCTGCTTGAAACTTTGAAGTCCGTGAAGTTCAACCAGGCTGCCGTTTTCGCGCGGTCAGTGGATCGGGCAAAGGCGCTCGGCAGTATTCTGGAGGAGTTCTTTCAACAGGCGGTGGTTCTGCACCCGAACACGAACCACAGCATAGGCGATTACGCGTTCAAAAGTTCCGCAAAGCTTGTCGTTGCAAGCGACGGCTGCGAGTGCGACTATGACACCTCAATGGTTGACCTTCCCATCAACTACCACATTCCTGGCGACCATAACTCGTATTTTTGCCCCGTCGGGACCGAGAAGGGGTTTCGATGCCAGCGGTGTGACCATCTCTTTCGTCACCACCTCCGACAATCCCGA